CTCACAGGCCAGCCTCCAGAGGGAGAGGGCAAAACAGGTCCCAACTGAGTCACAATTTGCGAAGTGGCTCTCAGCTCCCTAGGGATGGGCCAGAGACCAGGTTTCAACGCGGAGATCCAGGGAAGGCAGAGCCCGTGGACGGAAAGGAGGGGGTGGTCTGGAGAATGTGGGCATCTGTGAGCCTGGAAAAAATTCACCCGAAGTTGGGATGTGACCGCCTTCCTTCTCTTTCTCCAACTTAAATCGGGGAAACCTAGACATGCATCCGGAACTTCCAGGGAAAAATTTAATCTAACCTTTCCAGCTAGGCCCTTAGGAAAAGGTAGTTAAAAAATACAAAAAAACAAACAAACAAACAAAAACAAAACCAAGAGATCAATTAGCTGTCCAGGAAGGAAAAGTCTGGAACAAACACCAAAGGGCACCAAAGTGCTTCTCTCCAAGGTGCAACACCGAGACTTAGCATCAGCCCTATTATATTTGGTCTTCCACCCATTTCCTGGCACGGAGATCCTAAAACTCTTGGAATTTCCTGTGCCGAGAGCGATCAAGTGTCTTTTGTTATGTTAAAGAGGTAATTTTTGGATCCCACCTAAGGATGGGGGCTGGTTGCCAGGGGAATCAACCACACGATTATTGGTTTGGAACTTTCAGTCCCACCCACCAGGGAGGGGAGAGGGGCTGGCGATTGAGTTCAGCAGTCAATGGCCAGTGATTTAATCCATCATGCCTATGTGATGAAGCCTTCGGAGAGACCCAAAAGGCTGCGTTCAGAGAGTTTCTGGGTTGGTGAACACAAGGAGATGCAGGTAGGATGGCACCGGGACAGGACGTGGATCTTTCTTGCCCTGTGTATCTCTTCCACCTGGAGGTTCCTGAGTTATGTCCTTTATAATAAATCAGTAATCTAGTAAGTAAACTGGTTTCCTCTGTTCTGTGAGCCCCTTTAGCAAATTATTTGAACTCAAGGAAGGGTCGTTGGAACATCCAGTCTAGAGCTGGTTGGTCAGACACACAGGCGATAATCAGGACTTGCCAGAGGCACACGGAGAGTGTGTGTGGTTGGAGGCAGTCCTGTGGGGCTGAGCCCCTAATCTGTGAAATCTGAAGCTATCTCTGGGTGGACAGCGTCAGAACTGAGTCAAATTGTAGAACACCTAGCTGGTGTCTGAGAATTGCTTGGATGTATGAGAAGTCCTCACCCCCTCCTCCCACCTCCACAACATCCCAGAATCAGACAAGGTGAGAGGACTGTTCCGAGCCAGCTACGGGGCAGGAGGAGCCAAGGGGAGGGAGCTGGGTGTGTCGTGGGAAACCAGCGGGCCATCTTTCCTGTCAAGAAAGAAAGGGTGCCAGGAAAGAAACTGGGGCAGGAAGAGGCCTCAGCCTTGCAGAATAGTCGTGAGAATCATTTCGAAAACTTAAGAGTGGGGATCCATTACCTGGGGCATACAGACGGACTGCAGTTGAATGCAAAATTGTTTGTCTAGATAATTTTCTGGGGGCAGTTCCCATAGCTTTTTTTGGATTCTCTAAGGGGTTTACGAACCATGAAGAGCTTCACCAAAACTCACCACTGACAGGCTTGGAGGGAGATAATTCTAGGGGAAGCAACCCACTTCTGAAATGATTTCCCAGAGAAGCTCATCTTCATTTAAGAGAGAGGAGAGCCTAGGGGAGTAGGACATAGCACCGCTATGGGAGGAGGAGGCCATTTTCCCCCGCATTCATTTAATAAATATTTCTTGAGCATCTTCTACGTCAGGCACTGCTTAGATCCTGGGATACAACACTGAAGAAAACAGAGGCAAAAAGAATCCTGATGAGTAGATTGAAGCTTTCATGCTAGTCAGGGGAGACCAACTATGAACAAAACAAATGAGCCAAGTATTTAGCATGTTAGATGTGGGTAAGTGCTAAAAAGAAAAATGGAGAGGAAAGAAGGGATAGGATGGGAAAGGGGTTCAATGTTAAGTGGGATGATCAGAGGAAGGCTCACTGAGGTGATATTTGAGCAAAGACCAAGGAAAGCAAGGGACCAAGCCATACAGCTACCTAAGAAAGGACGATTCCAAACAGAGGAAGCAGCAAGTGCAAAGGCCCTGTGGCAGGAATGTATCAAGGGTATTGGAGATGAGCAAGGAGGCTGGTGAAGCTGGAGTGAAATGAGCACTGGAGAGGGTTCTAGAAAACAAAGTCAGAGGGGTCTTGGGGGTGGGGGCAGATTGTGCGCTTAGTCACTGTTAAGGCTTCTGACTATTCCTCTGAGAGAGAAAGGAGGTCATTGGACAGTGATGAGCAGAGAAGGGTCTTGATATGACAGCTTTAACAGATCTACTCTTCTGCTCCATTGAAAACAGACTGTAAGAAGGCAAGGCTGAATGTGTGGAGATGTATTTGGAGACCACTGCTGCAATTTGGAACAGACAGTCTGGCACCTCAACCAGGATGGCAGTAGTGATAGTGATGAGAACTGGGTAGCTTCTCGGTGTAAAAAGTCATAGAAAATTTACAAAGGGCTGGAGAAAGACAGCAGAGCAACATATCTCGGTGACTTTCCAACGTTTGCAGGGGCATGCCCAGCCGATTTTGTAGACCCAGATTAGAGGCACTTTACAAGTGGAATATGATGTCTTGGCACAGGAGGGCCACCTACAGAGGCACCTACTTCTTTAGAGCTGAGGTTTCTTTACAAACAGGAAAGACAAATGTCTGACTTGTCTCGTGGCCTCAAGTTGGACTTTGCTGTCTTAAAATGCCTTCTCCTTCTGAGATCTATCATTTTAGTTCTATGAGAGGCTTTAAAAGCATCTGAAATGCCACATCAGATCCAAACCTTGCTCTTTGAATACATAAATAGTGTTTTGTTCTTATTTCTCCTTCCTCGGACTTTCCTCTGCCGACAGGACTTATGCTTGACTTGCTTCTGACAGTGGTGGCCTCCAGGTGGGGTGAGGGAGAGAGAAATCCCCGTGTGGATTATGACTGATGCAGCAGCTCACCGTGACAAGGCTGAGCTGAGCATCACACAGGGCACAGATGCTGGTCACAGCGCATCCACAGCGTTTTGACTCAGAGCAGGTACGTAATGAGACTACATCAACCACCCTTGTCCACACAGACAGCCTAAAGCACTGGACCAGGGAAGACGGAAACCATCAATTTCACAATCTCAAGCGACAAGGGAAGTCACAGATCTGACTCTCCAGGCTGAGCAGCCCATCCAGGAGCTTTAATAAAAAAACACCTCATCTCAGCTTGATCAGCACCACAAAAAATACTGTGCTTAGGAACTGGGAAAGGGTTAATGAAACCATGTAACTCTTCTTTGTAATTGTTTGCCACTGTGTGTAAGAGGCAGGCGCTCTTGAGTCTGGCCGTCCCATCCAGGTCACTTCTTTTCCCGCAGCCCCCCACCCCAACCCCGGGCAGGTCACAGGCCACAGGACCGCCTCCCAGCCCCATATCCTGGGTCTGTAGGTGACCCCAGCTGAGCCAGGAGTTTGGAATGGGGTGGCTGGGAAGGATGAATTCTGCCTCCGCTGGTACTCAAGGGAGAAACAGAGGAAAGCTGGGGCTGGCACAGCAGTATTTGGGACAGGCGTGAGTACAAGAGGGCTGCTAACTGACAGAAACAGGCAGGCAGGCAGAGAAAGTAGAGGGAGAAAGAGAAGCCACGTGGCCCCAGGGAAACTGACAGGATAAGCTCATGCTGGTTAATTCTTGGTCCCAGTCCCTCAAATCCTCCTGGAAATTCCTGCCCTTGGTTTCCTTGAGTAGCTCCTGCTCCTGCCCAATAAATCCCTCTTTGTTGCTTAACATCATTGGGATGAAATTTATCAACTAAGATTATACAGTTGTTTGGGAAAATTAAGCTATAAAGTAAAAAATATTAAATTGCATATATCTTATGTTTGTCATCCTGGGGAAAAAAAAAGTGTGTGTGTGTGTGTGTGTGTGTGTGTGTGTGTATATATAAACACCAGCTGGAGGGAAAATATAAAAATGTCTCTGATAGTTTTAGAAGTGATTATTTTCCATATTTTTTCAAATGTCCACAAAATTGTTAAGGTACTCATAATTTTTGATAGAAACTACTGGGCAATCAAAGAAACATTTAAAAGCTCCCCTAAATGATTTCCTAAATAACAGACAGCTTGGCTGATAAATAATCATATTTATCCTGGAGTTGACACAAATCAGTGTGTTCCTAAAATGTTGAAGGAAAATGGTCACTTGAAATCTCATCTACATCAGTCCTTTCCTATTTTTAGGAAAGGAAAAAACACATACTGGATTCACCTGTTCATTAATTTCATTTTTTTTTCACATCAGTTATTTATAGGTGAAGCCCTCCTGTAGTGTGGACACGACACCAGTGTTTTCAAAGAGCTCAAATACTTGAGAACTTGTAACCTCGAACTTGAGCTTGTAAGATTAAATGCTTGTAACCCAGAAAAGCGTTCAACTGAGCATTCGTTGCAGACCTGCAGGGCTCCAGACACAGTTCCTGAACCTCTCCCTAGGCGGACTGCCTGATTCCAGATGGCAGCTTTGGTGTCCCGTGCTCATCAGCCTAACTTGTGCTTCCAGCACAGATCTTGCCATTAACCCTCTTAGGTTCCGCACCCCGCACCACTGGGCAGGCTCCTGGTACTGCTGAAGGTTAGTGCTGCCGGGAACCAGAATCAGCTGGTCTGACCATTCATTTTACAGATGAGAGCACTGTGTCCAGAGGGGAGAAAGGACCGCTTCAGGGCATCACACACATTTGCTGGTGAGGGCAAAGGGCTTGCAGTCCTTCCAGCTAATCTAGGATCAGCTGTTTGTGATTCCCCAGGGAGGGAAGTTAGAGCCTTGGCAATGAGCATGGCCTCAGAGTCATCCCCTGGTGGTCTTCTCTGAACGCTACTCGAGGAAAGATCATGTCTGGAACTACTTCCTTCCCATCCCTGAGATGTCACCGACACCTGCCCAGGAAAGCCTGCAGGGGTCCTTACCTCCAGAGGGTGTGCCAGCGACTCTCCTAAGGAATTTAACCCACTCCTCCATTTCCGCTTGGGAGCTGGCCATGAGGACATAGGAGTCCTGTCCCGTGCGACTCTGGTCACATGAGGCTGGAGGAAAAAGTAACACCAGTGAAGGTCTGCCAGTGGTCTGGGGCCAGAGCAAGGGGAAGCGAAGGGAAGCCAAACCTGGATTGCTTCTTTGGTCCATTTAAACAACCAGTCAAATAACACAAAAGCATCATCTACTCATCCTCAGCAGAACTGAGTATCTACGCACTTTTACTGTTTTTGCTGAAGCTCTAATTAATTCTATAGACAAATCATTGAACTCAGTGGTTTGCAGTTGGGATGATTTGGGCTGAGATCTACTCCCATGGAGAACGAAAGCCACTTCCTACAGAAAATTAAGAGGAAGTTTCAGGGGCAGTGTCAGTACCAGAGAAGACAGGCTCAGCCTGTATAAGTTTGAAACTTCAGTCCATCACATCAGCCATGGATACTTTCCTGAGCTACCCCTGAGCTCAGCTGTGGGGGTGAGGAAGGGACCAGCAATTCAGGAGGGAGGGACAGTGAGCATACGTGTGCCTTTCTCACGAATCGGCACCTCCTGTTCAAGATGACTGCTCTCCTGCCTGCACAAGACGTTGCAAACGGCAGGCAGAGTTGATGGACAAATGAAGTTTGTTAGGACTTTTTTTTTTTACCATTTGCACTTTAAACCCGAGATTACAGACAGACATCTGTAGTGCCTCCTGGCTCGATGTTATCAAGTGGACAAAAGGGTGGAGGAAATGACAAGGCAGGAGAGTGGAGACAGGAGACTAAGAAAGAATGAGAGAAAGTGACAAATAGAGAAAAATTGGAAGAGAGGAGAAGGGAGGGAGAAAGAGAGCATCAAACATAAGTCTTAGCACAAATGAACTTATTTACAAAACAGAGATGGGCTCGCAGACATAGAAAACAAACTTATGGTTACCAAAGGGAAAGGGGGTGGGGAGGGGTAAATTGGGAGTTTGGGATTTGCAGATACTACCTACTATATGTAAAATAGATAAACAAGGTCCTACTGTATAGCACAGGGAACTATATTCAATACTTTGTAATGGCCTATAATGGAAAAGAATGTGAAAAGGAATATATATACATGTATGTATAACTGAATCACTATGCTGTCCACCAGAAATTAACACAGCATTGTAAATCAACTATAATTCAATTTTTAAAAATATTGGCAATGATGGAGATGTTAGCTGACTCTATAGCAATTATCATTTTCATTATGTAAGTAAATCAAATTAACATGTCATATACCTTAAACTTATAAAAATGGGACATGTCAATTATATCTCAATAAAACTGGAAGAAAAGAAAAAAAGAATTTCAAGTGGAAAAAAACATAGGTCTTAGGAAGGACAAGAAATTAATAGCAATCCCTTTCAATTACAGGATG